GACGATTGTTGTGAATGGCAGAGTGTGTGTTTCTGACGTGAAAGAATTAAGGGAGGAAATTCTAAGGGAAGCACATCAGTAGAGGTTTTCTGTGCATCTGGGAATGACCAATATGTACCAGGATCTGAAGAGGTACTATCATTGGGTCGGGATGAAGCGGGACGTAGCCAAGTGGGTGGCTAGCTGTCCGACATGCCAGCTGGTTAAGGCTAAGAATCAGGTTCCAAGTGGGTTGTTGCAAACATTACCAATACCGGAATGGAAATGGGATATGATCACAATGGATTTTGTGTTGGGTTTACCGAGGTCTCTGAAGAAGCATGATGCGATTTGGGTCATTGTTGATAGGCTGACCAAGTCTGCTCACTTCTTTCCTATGAGGAAAACGGATGGAGTGGCTAGGCTGGTGGAGTTGTATGTCGATGAGATCGTCAAGCTTCATGGAGTGCCTGCGAGCATTGTGTCAGATCGTGACCCAAAGTTTACTTCACGATTCTGGAAAGAGATTCAGAAAGATTTTGGGACGAAGGTGCATATGAGTACTGCATATCATCCGCAAACGGATGGTCAGTCTGAGAGGACCATCAGGACGTTAGAGGACATGCTGAGAGCGTGTGTACTGGACTTGGGTGGTAACTGGGAAAGTTATCTACCGTTGGCTGAGTTTGCGCATAACAACAGTTACCATAGGAGCATTGAGATGTCTCCGTATGAGGCGTTGTACAGAAGGCCATGTAGAACACCGCTATGTTGGACCCAAGTGGGGGAGCGGAGTGAGTTAGGACCTGCTATAGTCGAAGAGACTACTGAAAAGATCAGGTTTCTGAAGGTTAAGCTGAAAGAGGCTCAAGACCGACAAAAGAGTTATGCTGATAAGCGCCGTAAGGACTTAGAGTTCAGTGTGGGCGATCTGGTTTATCTGAAGGCTATGACTTACAAGGGGAAAAGCCGAGCAACGTTTGATGCTAAGTTGAGTCCGAGGTACATGGGACCGTACCGGATTCTGGAAAGGATTAGACCAGTGGCGTATAAGTTGGACTTACCACCGGAAATGAGTGCTTACCACAATGTGTTTCACGTGTCGCAGCTGAGAAAGCACATAACCGAACGTGCGACTGTGATGTCTGAACCACCTTCAGAATTGCAAGAGAATCTGACCGTGGAAGGTAGACCGATCCGAGTGGTTGACAGGAAAGAAAAGCTTAGGCGTGGTAAGAGGGTCAAGATGATCCAAGTTGTCTGGGACTGTAATGGGGATGAGCAAACTACTTGGGAAGTAGAGTCCAAGATGAGTACAAGGTTCCCGAAATGGTTTGAGAAACTTCAGGAAGAAGAACCGGATTCGAGGGCGAATCCAAACCAAGTAGGGGAGAGTTGTAGCGTCCGTATCCGAGAAAATCTGGAATGATCGAACCGGACAGGAGGTTGTCCGAAGGAATGTGAGTTCAATCAAGGGAAAAAATCCGTATGGATGGGAGGTTCGGACTATAGTCGATGGATGACTGGGAAATAGTCGAAGGATGGCCGGGCTAGCCGAGCAGGACGGACCATATCCGGGAGAAAAATGGTTCTGTCCGGGAGAAAGTGGATTATGTCCGAGAGAAATGGATTATGTCCGAGAGGAAATGGATTATGTCCGAGAGAAATGGATCATGTCCAAGGGGAAAAGGAAAATAGCCGAGGCTTTGTGGTTTTAGCCGAGTAAAAATGGGCTGGGCCCGTGGGCTGGGAGTTTGGTCGGATAAAAACTAATTTCTCGTGGGGATGGTCGAGCGGTTTGGGCGATATCCGAGAGAAATCAAAGCTGACCGGGATAAACCTGACTGGAACCGGGAGACGCCGGCTTTAACCGGGTTAACTAGGTTTTGCGAGCATATAAAAGAGATTTTGAGACTTTTTCTCGAGACAGCCGCATTATTTGAGAGAAATATCGCGTGAGAGAGAGATTGGTTGAGAGAAATCCCATAGTTTCTGATTATCCCGAGAGTTGGCCAAGAGAGATCGAAGTTTTGTCGGCGATTCCGACTATCACCGAGAGATCGAGTGTTCTGTCCGAGTTTCTGTGGATCTGTTTCGACCATTCGTCCTGATTTGAGGGTTTGCCGAGGGAATAACCGAGTTGTCCGAGGATTTCTGAGCGGATCGTGTGATATCCGAGAGCACTTCGATTCGTCCGAGTGAATCTTCTTCTTGCCCGAGAAAAAGTGATCGGGTTGAGAGATAGCCGAGAGGTGTAGAGTTTTAGTCGGACCAGTCTGAGCGATAGCCGAGAAATCGCAAGTGTGTCCGAGTATCTCAGTTCTGATCGAGAAATCACCGAGATTCTTTCGACTGAAACGTTTGTTTCTGTGTCTAAGGTTAGTGCGTGACTGTAGTATGTATCTAGAATCGTTGGATTGCTAGGTTATCTGATTTTCATTGATTGCTTGTGTAAGTTAGTGGTTTCTGCTTAGCAAGGTCAATGTTTCTGTGATTGTGAATGGTTAAGTGTGAACCGTGGTCAATACGTGATGTCTAACTAGCTGTGTGAATGTCCGGATCGAGTTACTAGCTCAAGGAGATGTGTGATTCTTGCTTGGAGCAGTACCGATGCCTTGTGAGGCTTCACAAGTAGTTGAGATGATCATAGGACCGTACTGTTTTCTGTGCTTGCTTGATAAGTGATAATGTGAATTGCATAACTGATAGTATGATGCGTTTTCTGATACTGGCTAAGGTGTTACGGGATGACCGTATTCACTAAGTATTTATCAAATACTTATGCCTCTCTGTTTGAGTGTGCAGGTAAGGATAAAGTCCAGGGCGAGTAGCTCTGAAGGCGGACTGGAAGGCAGTAAAGGAAAAGGGGTGGATTAAGACTGGGTTTTCGGATTCATATTCTGAGTTTGAGTTTCTATTTAAGTATTTGTGTTAGTGCCTTATGAGTTGAACCGAATCTGATAAGTTAATTTGTTATTGAATCCAAATTCTGTTAAGTGTTTCTGGAATAATTATGCAATGAGAATGGATGTCTTTTGATGAATCGAACTTGTTTAAGTTTAAGAAAAGTTTTTAAAATATGCATGTTTTTGTATTCTGACCGAGGGAAGACTCGGTAAGATTCGGGCTAATCTAGTGATAGACGGTCGGGTCTTCACAGGACTCGTCTCCTTTAGCCGCCAGTTATCAGATGAAAATACCGTATGACTTCTCGTTCGAAAGATTCACTCCGATGAGAGGCTTGGTCTTTCTCAGAGACGAGCGGATTATAAAGGGGAAGCGGCACAAGGTCCCGGTGTTTTGTAAGACCTTACCCAAAGTGAATACGAGGAGAAGGGTTGGTGTGAGGAGCTTTTTTGGGTATGATCCGGTCGAGAACCTATACAAGGTTTTGTCCATGACCTGGGTGGGTTATGACGGTCATGAGTATAGGGTCCCTGAGGAGCATCAAGTTCTGACATTTGGATCCGGTCGAGAACCGTCGTGGAAAAGGATCGAATGCAGCATACCCCATTCTCCTTACTCTAAATATAACCACGTATGCATCAACGGTGTGGTGTATTATCAAGCGTTCAACACGTCATCAAGGGCTTACATAATCATTTGTTTTGATGTTAGGACGGAGAAGTTCAGATTTGTTAGAGACTCGGATGCTTACACTGAATCACATCAATTATTACGTGTAACCCTGATAAACTACAATGGTAAACTGGGTTCACTTTCGTCTCAAGGCTTCCCTTGGTTTATCGATGAACACTGTACACGTATTTCGTTGCGGGTTCTTGAAGATGCCGAGAAGCATGAATGGTCTGAGCATATATACGTATTTCCTGTTATCTGGAAGAATGTTGTTGGATACATGAATTTAAGCTTTGCTGGAGTTACTCGGACGAATGAAATCGTCTTGGCCCCATGCTATCAACATGTGCCTTTCTACGTTTTCTACTACAATACCGAGAGAAACACAATCACAAGAGTTGAAATCCAAGGAATGGAAGCGTGTAAGGGTTATGTTAACACCTTTATGGACCATGTAGAGGATGTGAAACTCATGGAAGTGTTTTAGTCATGCCTTTACATTTAACTTGGAGGATTTTTTTGTAACAGAGCTAGTTTGCGATAACTAATTTTTACTGATGTTCCTTATCTTATTTGATGACTATTGTTTAGTTTTGTAAATTGTTATATCTCATTCCCTTGTTTACTCTTTACAGTGAGCCACTCTGTTAATCGTATCTTCATGAGTTATATGTCACTCATGGATCACAGGTAAGCACCACACTTAATGGTTTTGACATTGAAGGAACCACCAAATTTGTAGTACTTTTTTTTTGGGCGGAAACTGTTTTTGTATTCAAATTTAAGTTTTTGATTATTTGAAATCTAATCGATTTCAATAATGAAAAAAATACTAATATATAGGTTATCGTTAACCTATAAATAAAAAAAAACTTCAACATGATAAGACTTGAAGATGGATCATTAAAATTTAAATTGATGGCCAAATGGTCTTCTTTGGCTTTTTCTTTGTGTCTTCACATTTTTTTTCTCTTCTTTTACTTTTTTTTTCTTCTCCTCCTCTCTAGTCCATACGATCAAGAGCTTCTTATGCACTTCTTCTCATCAAGCTTGGTTTTCTTCTACGCAATATTGAACTAAGGATAAGATTCTAACACTCCCTCTCAGGTGTTTGTTTCGTTTCCAAACCTCAAACTTGGTTTTTAACTTCGATGCATTTTGCATTTTATCTACAAACGAATGAGTCTTTGAACTTTGTCTCAATGTAATGTTATTTTCATTGATTTTTCTTTTACATTCGTGACATATATGCATGTGAAGTTTGTGTACAAGCGTATATGTACAAGATCCATGTTGCGATATTCCAAATTTTTGAAGGTCACAAATAAGAATATAAAATAATAATCATAACTATATTTATTATCGAGTTCCCTATAACAATCTACTTACAAAGATTTGATTTTCGAAAAACCTCCAATCTTTAATCGTCTAATACTATTTTCCTACCAACCCCATGAGATGAGACCATGTTTGCCTTTCATCCTGGTCGTAGGTGAATTAGTCGGTTTAGTTCTATCCCACAAAGTCTTTGTCGTTTCACCCAAAATCTCTCTTTCTCTCATGTCCCACTTGTCCTTTGTCTTTTGCTCTTCAGTACGATTGGAGCCACCAACATCCAAACTGTCATAACATTTCATCAACAAAACATTACAAAACTGTCTTTCAATCTTAGGGTTTTAAGGATGAAAGCATTCAAATTAGATTATGTTTACTTACTGTATACGCAAACCGCAAGCCACTCGTTTACAATCCTTACCCAAGTACTTGTCCATCCCACGTCAATCGTCCACCTAAACAAACAAAAAAGGATAGTACAAGTTAAAGTCTCAAGCTTCATACATCAGCCCATAAGTATATTAATTATGTGTTTGTGTGCATGGAATGTATGTACAAGATTGTTGAGAAAATATTTACTTTTTCATGGGGTGATGAGTGTTCCAACCGATGAGTAGCATAGCGAAGTACATTGCTCCTGTGGCAAATACAAAATGGAAGAATCCATATCCATAAGGAACATCATCTTCCTGTTCTTCTCCTTCTTCTTCTCCTTGACTGTTCGCATCTTTCTTGGATTGGAAACATTGAGAGTCTATTCCTGTCGAAAATGTGGCAATCACCATTGCTAGTAACGCTACCACAAAGCTCTGCACAATGTTATTCCGATAATCAGCATATGGCTTTTGCGTGAAGCAGAAGAAAGGAAGTGTTAAGAGGTTGAGAGAGTTTACAATAATTGTAAGCCAGTCCGTTCTGTTTGAAGCTGCTGCTTTTCTGTTGCAACTTTCGCCTACTGGTTCACTGCACAACATTTTTTGGGATTAGCCAATTTACAATAAAGTTTCTTCAACATACTATTATAGCTCCACTACTAATTCAAGCTTCGTATTTGTTTGCATGCCTTTTAGGATTTAGATGTTAGAAATTGAATTAGAAGTGGAGTGGGTCAAGTACACTGAGAGTGTTCACATGTTCTTAAATTTAATGTGTTAGACAAATAAAAAAAAATAAAAATTGATGCGGTATTTTTGAATTTCAGTGGAATTTATTTGCAAATATTTTTGTTTTTTTTGGGAAAACTTGTGTATCTTATTTTTTATGATTATCAAATTGTGGGTTTTAAACGAGAAATAATACTACATAAAATTTATTTTAAACATTCGATTTTTTGTGTATTTTAATGAAAAAAATCGTTGAATGGGTGAATCTTTTTTTATCAAAATTCTCATATTTTTATTAGTTTTGATTTGTTTTTTTTTTAATATGGAAGAAATTAATATGTTTCAAAGACAATTGATGTAAGACAGAGATAAAGATTAAAGAAAACATAAACATACCTTCGAATGGCGCACCAGCAAATAAACACAACATAGAGTCCCATAAGAGCAGGAGTCAAGTAACCAGCATTCACCTGTTTGAGGTTAACAAATCACAAACAAATCTTAATAACTTCAAACATCCAAAACACTCACACACAAGTACACAAACATGACATATAGATAATAATGGATTACAAAAGACTTACTTTAGGATGTAGAGCGATGCTTGTCATGAGCTGGATGAGGAACAAAGTCCAAGTTATGAAGAATATATTGAGAAGACATGTAGAATCTGGCGCGTACCATATGTACATCAAAATCACCCCAACTATACACACTGTGTATGAGGTAGTTGCTACTAGCATCACATAGACATGGCTACACACATAATAATATAAAGAGTGTTTGCTTGATTAGTAATATGCTAAATTGAAAGAAAAGAAACTAAAACTTGTTCTAATGAATCAAAACTAACCATCTTTCTGCATCTTTTTGTGACTGGTACCATTCGTTGAGCCATGTAATGAAACTGATCACACTAATTAGCTGTATCAATAGAAATACCCTATATATAAAGAAACAACAAACAATAAGATTGTGGATAAGATTTTCACATCATATATGTAAATTGTGAAAACTAGACAGATCAAATCTTACCCTGCACCAAAATGGGCAATCTCTCCTGCAAATAACACCAAAGAAAAAAAAACACTTTTTTAATTACTCGTCATGCCAATTGAATTAGAGAGAGTACTAGAAGAGGAAGTTTTCTCATCAAGCCTTACCGTAAAGTTGAATAATGGTGGAAGGAAGCAAGAAAGGAATGATGGTTAGAGCAGGCCACATGATAAGCTTAGCAGACCACCATCCAGAATGCCATTTATCTCTTGATGAATGCGTTTTCGACGCACCAAGTGTTGATAGAAACATAACGAAATAGAACAACTGAGAGTTTTAGGTTAAGCTCAAAACAATTTATGACAAAAAAGTGTTGTAAGATGACTTAATAAGCATATTATAGTATTCAAGAATGAATCAAGAAAGGATACAAAACATCCCAAGCTAACCCTCAAGACTCCTTCCGTCCCTAAACAGTTTTCTCCTCCTTTACAATTCTTGAATTCTGCAATTTAGAGTTGTGTCGATCAGCATCGTTTAACTTGTAAGACAAGGATCGAAGATTGAGACCTGATTTTAGTGCCACATACTTGTCACTTCTTTTAAGGCACGCCGACCATAATCACGAGCAGCCCAAGCTAGTAGATTCGCTATGAGGAATATCAGACCATATACATATCTAGCCATCCAGGGGTTACAGCCGTTACGGAACTGATTAAACCATGATCCATTCTTGATTGCTTCATAGCTCTCGTTTCTGCTGCTTCCGCTGTTGTTGCTAACGCTTGTACCGGTCTCCATAACTCCTTAAACTTACCAGACTCTCTCCTCTTCATAACATTAGAAGATCGAAAAATTCAAGAACACAGATCATTCCGGGGAGGGTTTTGCATCGAAAACCAGTTTCTTAGAACGGAAGAAATGGTCAAGAACTTAGAAAAGGCAACACAAGAGCGTCTGAGAGTATTCTTCCTTCAGATCAAAACCTATGAAAAGAAACAATGAAACTTCAAGCATTTGCAAGAACAGAGTCGGTAACAAGAAGACAAAAGAACGAAGCAAAGGATGAGAATCTAATTCCGTTATCAGAAAACGAGATGAGGATCATACAAATCTAAGATGAAACGGTGGCGATAGCAATCTGTAGAATTGAAGATGGAAAAATCATGTTTTACATGAGAATCTGAAGTGTATTCTCAAGAAAATATCACACAGAATCCGTTTCTCAACAGAAAAAGCGTCTCATTTCTTTTTTGTTCTACCCAACATGACAGAGAATACGTATAGTGCAAGTAACCTTTTTCCCTTATTTTGCCTAAACTGAAAAAGCAACCTTTATAAGCGTCAACGAGAATCCACAATAGATGGCTCATTTTAATCCAAGATTGCAACTTTGAACCTTAACCATGTGAATTATAAAGACTAAAAGGACATAACATACCAAACTTAAAAAGCAAGCTATAATCTTGAGGACAGTCAAGAATTAAGATTCTTTAAGACTTAAAACTCACAAAGTCAACATTTGGTAGAAACTGAAAATTATGAAAAAAGGAAGAAGCTTTTACTAAAATTTCCCTAATGCAAAAGGAGAGGCGTGGATAAACAAAGAATAGCACCCAAAAAGCTTTATTTGACAAGGAAACAAAAGGCTAAGAGATCAAAAGAGAAAAACGAAAAAGAATCAGATTTGATAGTGAGCTTTTATAATGGAAAATCCGGGTATTTATGCAATTTGAACTCGAAAAGAAACGTGTTGGTACGGATACAATTGGGCAAACGAATCTTTTCCTCTTACGAATCTCTGAATGGGTAATGTTAAGCAGCAACATCAAATACCCTTTTTTGGGCTTCACAGGTCCACTTAATGGGAGTGGAGACACATGCCTCCACTTGAACTATTTGAAAGAAAAAGTTGGGTGATTGATAAAACTATCCACCCAAAAAAATATAATAAAGAAAAACGTCATCTACAATATTGGAAATTTGGGATATCATAATTTATCAAATCTCTAAATTTTTTATGAGATTAATAGTTTCTTTACTTTCCTTAAATCATCTAATTAGTCTTAAAGTTCTGAGTCGGGGTATGTAATCCGGATTTTATTACGGTTTTGGTTTGAGTTTTTTTAATTTCTTTATTGCTTCTAGTTTATACTAACCAATGTAAAACCGAATCTAACGTAGACGGTAGACCCATTTATACAGTTATAGTTTAGTTCTGATGCAGCTTTTTTTAATCTAATATGCTTATGTTTTTCAAAGAATTTTTAGTTTGTGTTCAAATTTTTTCCGCTTTGGTTTCTGTTGAAAAAAATAAGCAATTAAATTAAGTTTTTTAATGAAAGATTTTGTGTCATTGTTAAAAAAATTATCACTTGTGAACTAATTTGTTTTAATTTGTGTATTTTAGGTACATGTTTCTAAATATATTTTTTAAATTAAATCTGATTTACCTTTTTATTGCTTAACTGCTCATATAATGATTTAGCTAAAATAAATAAGAAAAAATAAAAAAAAATATCAAAATAAAAGAAGATAAAACATGTAATCATAGTAAGAGATAAACTAACCTGTGAAAATAAACTCTTATAAAACTACGTGAAGACAAGTTGACATATGTTAAGAAAAACTAACCTTTATAGCTGTTGAGTTTGGGAATTTTGGAAAAGATTTTTTGAAGTTGTGAGTTTGTTGGTGCGAGCAAACTTATAAGAGAGGAAAAAAACTTGTTTATATAGAGATAGTAGTTAATAAAAAAATAGAATTACTATTGGTAATTTTCTTAATCTAATTGGAAAACACCAAAATTATACATTTATCATTTTAACTTTTCCTTAAAAAAGCTTGATAAAATATTTTGTTAGTAATTATAGTCATTTTCCTTTTATGATTAATAATGGATCTACAATTTCTTTAATATAATGGGTAAACATAAATAAAATACTAAAAAAAATCTTGATTCTAAATCTTTTTTTATTTTTTTTTCCTTTTAGGACTAGTAAAAGTTGTATAATTTTCCTAATTTAAAGAGAAAACAAAGAAAGCATTTATTTTCATATCTGATTCTTATTTTTATTTTTTTTTGGATTTTGAATTTTCTATATTTATGTCATAATCTAATTGGTATAAATTTTTGTAGACGTATCAAAATCTTATTTATAAATTTGACATGTGTCTCAATCACATTAATAAGTAATTTTGAAATATCAAACTTTACATAATAAGAATTTGCATAAAACTTGTGTTCTTATAACTAGAAAAAAAAAGTTAACAAGAGAAAACAAAAAAATTAGAAGACCGCGTCCAATATGCAAAATCCGCAATAATATATAATAGGACGGATGCGGATTAATTTTTTTCTACACGGTAGGTATTGCTTTTATACTCATATATATACAGGGAAATTAAATTTATATTTTGTGATCATTTTTAGTTCATCATGTCTCCACGTTCATATAGACTAGGAGATGTGATTCAAGCCTAAGAAAGAGGTAGCTTGTGAAGGAGTTTAGTATCGGTACTTGTAATCTACAGTAGTAGATTCATCATTAGAAATGTAGAAAGTTTTTGAGTCCCGGAAACTAAAATCGGTAACGTTCTCTAACCAATTTTTATTTAGTTATATACAGCCGAGAAAGACAACTCTTTAAACCAAAAAAAAACTTTGCTTTGAGTTTGAGGGTTAAACTCGTTTTCGATTACCTAAATTAGATAACAAAACCCGAAATAACCGACATGCTAACCAATCTTGCACCAGTAGATGAGTCTTAAACTATAATAGTACCATATAGTCAAGGATCAAATATATGATCACGTTTATATATTTTTTTTCTAATCCAACAACATCTGAGTGTGTGTGTTTTTTATTGATTCCACACAATAAAATGAGCAGCCAATAGAAGATCATTCTTTTGTGTTCTTTTTGACTCGAAGAAGAGAAAATTTGGATTATTTAGCCGCAGAAATTGAGTTGGTAAGCAAAAAACGGAAAAAAAAAAACAATAGTAAAATAATACTATTACTAAATTTGTAAGTCAAAAACATTAATTTCTTAACGACTTAACCTTGACAAATAAAATCGTCAAATAGCTTGTTCTTTTGGTCTTAATATTACTCGTATGTGTTTTCGGCATAAACATTAATTAAACATAATTATGTTAAGCTACGGCTAAAAACTGTTGGCAAAGTGAGATAATTAGCAGAAAGCAAAGATGACAAAGAAAAAAAAAAGTAAAAGTGAAACAACGAGAGGTCCCTCTCTGTCTCTGCTGATTTTTTTTTTTTGAAAAAATCGAAGTTCCACATCTTTGATTTCCGAGAAAACGAGGGAAGATTACGAAAATTTAATTTCGAATTTCAATTGATTGCTTCATAGATTTACACCAAGAACTGAGTTCGATGCCGTTTTCGTTGTCACGAGAAAACAAGGAAAATTACACGAAACAGAGGAAAGTGGTTCGAATTTTGTTAATTGCATCACATATTTACATCAAGAACTGACTTCGTCGCCATTTTCGTTTTCCTGAGAATCGCGAGATATATATATATATATATCGATTTAAGTAGGAATTCTAATAAGCACATGTTTATAAATCTCAGAGATCCAAAAAATAGACGAAGAACAGAGAAGACAGAGAGAGAGAGAGAGAGAGAAAGAACCTGTGATTTATCGTGAAGAAGCTCTTGAATCGATGAAGCAAAGATCAGATCTGGAGATATGTGGAGAATGTTGTGTGTTTTTACTCCACAAGCTTCTTCTAATGTGAAATCAAACAAGAAGAAGATAAAATCTAAGAGAGAGAGAGAGAGATGTGAAAACGAAAAGAGAATGGTTTCAGGTTTTTTACTTTTAGAAAACAGTTCTTATACTTATATACAAATTCATGTGTGTGTATGTGTTAGATACATACACTTTGCTTTTTTTTTGTGAAGATCTATTTTTTTGCTTTTTCCTTATAATTTGTTTTTTTCATCTCTTGCTTTCCCGCCGTTAGCTTCCTCTTTCCGCTACATCCTCTCGTATCTTTTAAAGAAAGCTAAACGAATAATAACGAAAAAGAAAACAAACCTCAGATATATAATATAATACAAAACTAAGCAATAATAATATGTTTCATAATCTAAGGTGTAATATTATTATTTTGGTGACAAAAAGAAAAGGGTATGTAATAGTAATAATTATTACTTGTTGTGCTTAATTTCTTTCTTGTTTAATAATGCATAAATGACAATTTTTAGTCATGGTACTAATTAAAGTTTTAAACCAAATAACCATGCAATTGATTTACCAAAAAGTCATTAAAATATTAGGGCTGACTTCAGATTTGTTCTTGATAATTCTATTATTATACGTGAACGTGCTCTGTGATCATTTTATTGGACCTTATACATAGATCGACCTTTTTCTTATTTAGTTGTGGTGTCAGATAAAATGAAATTGTAATTTTTGGAATATAACTTCTTCTTTTTTCCGACGCTGAATGTTCTTGAGTTTTTTAGCTTCAGTTGCAAAATTATTCCGGCAAAAACGACCAAACAAAAACATCCTTACAATAGATTTTGATATGATATATAATAATGTGTCCCATACAGAAAACAAGATTGAGCCTCAATTTTGAAGTCACTTATATGTCGTGGAGTTCAGATTGGAAGGCAGACTACTTGTTGGGATTCTTCACAATCGCAATAAGTGCAACAATAATTTTATATTCAACTGTATCCACTGAATAAGTGGGTAACAAAAAAACGAAATTCATATATAGTCTTTCTGCCAACGTTTTGTACACCAAATTCATATATTA